TTTACGATAACGCCGCCGTTAGAATCAAGGGGAAGAAAGCCATCACGAACTTCCCTTTAGTAACGTCAACTCCGTCGCCGTCTCCGTCTCCGTCTCCTTCGCCGTCAATTTCGCGGCCGGAAACGGTAACGGAAGAAACGGAAAGGGAGAAGGATCTCTTTCCGTTATCGTCTCCGACCTCAGTTCTCCGCGGTGGGGACGAGCAGACGCCGTTCGACTGCTTCAGTTTTGGTGACGTGGACGCCCTCGGGTTTCGCGTGGATCCGCCGTTACTTTTAACGGACGATTTTTTACCGAGTTTTAGTTTTCTGAAAGAGGAGAAATTCGGGGATTTTGATGCGGACGACTTTTCTCTGGAGATCGCTTGCCTCTAGTAATTAATTGTTAAATATTATTAAAAGTTTTGAGCGTCGTCGGCCTAAATGAGATGGCAAAAGTTTTGTTAGAGCGATTAATTTTTAGCTATTTTATTATTTATTTGTTGGAGAGACGATGTTTTTTTTTTGTTTTTGTTTTTGTTTTTTTTTCTTGTTTATTTTTGGGGAGCCTTTTTGTGGGTGGAGGCCTTGCTTGAAGTCTACGCTGTTTAATGTGGAAAAGTTGAGAGATTTTATGATGGAATAATAAATTAATTAAGTAATAATAAGTATCTCTTTCTATGTGCAGTACATGTAAGACAAGAATCTCTCTACTTTAAAGATTTTTCTTTTTAATAAATAGTAATAAGGGGGGTATGGAGACGTTTGCGTTTTTCCGGGGGGTGAATTGACACGTGGCAGAATCCGGATCGGGTGTTGGGTGATGACGTGGAGGGTGAGGAGGAGGTGTTGGTGGGTGAATGCTGACACAGTAGCTGATACGTGTAATGTGACTGTTTAGGAAAGTGACGGGCGACTCAAAGTCGCAATCGGGTAAATATTCGGACGGTAAATTGATAGGCGAAGTATTTGGGCATATACCACATTAATTATTCAATTTGGGAAAAATGTGTTCATGTCCTAAAAGCAGAAACTTCATATGACAAGATTCTTTATATTTTGACCTATGTAGATAAGCTTCAAATACACACAGTATTTGTGACGAGACCCCAAAATATCGGATTTCTAAAAAAAAAACCCAATGAAAGTTACGAATTTGTCCCTTTGATAACAATACGTATTGTTTATTTAACCAAATTCTAATCTG